ATTTAAGCATTCATATAAAAAAGTTTAAAAAAGAAAAGCACATTAAACCTAAAGAAAATAAAAGGAAGGGTATAATAAAGACAAAATCAGAAATTAGTGAATAGAAAAGAAATACACAAAAGCCAAAAGTTGGTTGCTTGAACAGACCAATAATGTTGATAACCTCCTGGCAAAAATTATCATGAATAAAAGAGAGAGAAGGCAAATAACCAATACCAGGAATAAAAATGAAGATATCATGACTGAGCCTAAGGTCAGTAAAATATCATATGATATTATAAACTCTATACCAGTAATTACAAGGAATAATTCCTAGAAAAATAAGACTTACCAAAACTTCCTACATCAATGAATTATAAGCAAAAGGCCTGTTTACAATCAGTGTGACAGTGACATATACCCAGAAATAATTACTAAGTACCTGTTTTATTTCTTTGCCTTTTTTTCTGATTGTGCTAAGTAACTTCCATAATTTACAATCAGAATTGATTGATGCAATTCAGCCTAATACATCCTTCTTTAAAAATATTTTGGTGTTCCATATATACAAATGGAAAAACTGCCCCATCATACAAAGGGACTCTCACATAAAGTACTTCATTTTTTCTGGGGCATAAATTTGTAAGCTAATTTCAATCTCTGATGTCATCTTTAAGAGAAATTGGTTTTTTGCTTGACGATTTTAAAAGCTAAAATTTAAATTCATTTGTTTTTGCTCTAAATTGACATTACATGCTTAAGTGACATCAGAATATACACTAATTAAAAGTTTCAAGTAATTACATATTTTTAAGGGCACCACTATATGGTAGAAACTAAACACAATGCAGCCAAAATAAAATAGCTCAAATTCTCCTATGAATGAACAACTGCAATGCTCACTGTATCATACTTAAAATGTCAAAAATGAGTCTTTCCATGTGCCTTGTGGTTCAAAAACTAGAACTGTGATGTTATAAACAAAAGTTATTCAGGTGAGAACTAGCAAACTAGTCAATGAGTTTGATTCTTTCATTATTTTCCTCAAACTTTGTCCATTAGGTAGAAAAACTGGTTTTAAAGCTTAAAGGTGAAGGGAAAAAGTAGTCAGTTTTTCAGAGTCAGGGGAACATAAAATATTGAAATAATTAAAAACAAGAACAGTATTATAGCTCCTTAAAGACAGAAATTATGTTTCTTATTTCTTTCTGTATCTTCTAAAACACCTAGTCCTATAATCTTGACATAGTAAATTCCTAAAAAAAAAAAAGGGAGGGGGGAGAGGGGGAGTTGAAATATTTAGGTTTACATAAGGCATCATTCATACAAAGAAGAATCATGAGAAGTTGAGGAAATAGACTAGAAATTCTCTGAAACTATGTAAGTGACCTATACAAGTTATGGAGTTGGGTGGGCCTTGCTATGCTCTATTAAAATTAGCAAATTAAAATTTGCACATATTTTGTTAAATTTATTCCTAAGTATTTCATATTTTTATGCTATTGTAAATAATATTTAAAAATTATTTTTTATTTAAATTCAATTAGCCAAGGTATAGTACATCATTAGTTTTTGATATAATGTTCAATGATTCATTAGTTGAATATAACACCCAGTGCTCATCATGTGCCCTTTTTAACTAAACACAAAACTAAAAAAAAAAAATTATTTTCCCACTGCCCATTGCTACTATATAAATATACAACTGATGCTGTACATTGACCTTGTATCCTGTGACCTTTCTCAATTCACTTATTCTGATGGCTTTTTTTTTTCCGTAGATTTCCCAGAATTTTCTATATATACAATCATGTCATCTTTAAATAAAGACAATTTTACTTCTTCCATTTAAACATGCATTTTAGTTTTAGTTTTTTCTTGTCTTATTGCACTGGCTAGGGCCTCCAGCATAATGCTGAATAGTGAATATCCTTGCCTTTTCCTCATCATAGAAAGAAAGCAGCTTTTCACCATTAAATATAAGTTAGCTACAGGTTTTTCATAAATACTTCTTATCAAGGGGTGCCTGGGTGGCACAGTTGCTTAAGTGCCTGTCTTTGGCTCAGGTCATGATCTCAGGGTCCTGGGATCGAGCCCCTCATTGGGTTCCCTGCTCAGTGGGGAGCCTGCTTCTCCCTCTCCCCTCCTCCTTCTGCTCTGTGTGTCTGCCTTTCTCTGTCAAATAAATAAATAAAATCTTTAAAAAAATGCCTCTTTTCAAGTTGAGGAAGTTTCCTTCTATTTTTAATTTGCTGCAGTGTTTATTATGAATGGGTATTAAATCTTTCCAAATGCTTTTTTTGCAATGATTGAGATGATCACATGGTTTTTCCTTTATGCTGTAAATTAAATGGATTACATTATTTGATTAATTAAGTCAACCTTATATTCCTGGGATAAAACCCACTTGGTTATGATGTATTATCCTTTTTATAGATTTTTGAATTTGATTTGTTAATACTTGTTAAGGATTTTTTGTATCCATGTTCATGGAAAATGCTGAACTGTAATTTATTTCTACAATGCAGGTCTGCTGGTGAAAAAATATTCTCAGCTTTTGTTTTTCTGAAAATGTCTTTATTTTTAAAGAATTTTTTGCCGAATACATTATTCTACACTCACTTTTTTTCTTCTTTTGGCACTTTCAAAACAATCATTTCACTGAATTGTGGTATTTATTTCACATGAAAAATCAGCAGCCGTTTTTATCATTTTCCCCTGTATGTAATATGTCTTTTTTTCCTCTGGCAGTTTTAAAGCTTTTGTCTTTCAATTTACAATAATTTGAGTATAATGTACTTTGTTGTGGTTTCCTGTTTATCCTGCTTGAGATTCACTGAGTTTCCTGGATTGGTGTTCTTATGCTTCCAATCAAATTTGGGAATTTTTCCACCATTATATCTTCAAATATTGTTCTGCCCCATTCTTTCTCCTTTCTTTGGAGACTCCAATTGCTCATATGTGAAACTGTTTTTTTAGGGTTGCCATTCCTATATTGAGAAGTCCTAATTATTGCCTCATTATGCTTATTTTCTCCCTTTAAATACCTAAATATATTTATGGTAACTGTTTTATAGTCCCTGTCTGCTAATTCCACCATCTGTCATTTTTGGGTTTATTTCTTTTTTTTTTTTAAGATTTTATTTATTTGCGAGAGAGAGAATGAGAGACAGCATGAGAGGGAGGAGGGTCAGAGGGAGAAGCAGACTCCCCGCTGAGCAGGGAGCCCGATGCGGGACTCGATCCCGGGACTCCAGGATCATGACCTGAGCCGAAGGCAGTCGCTTAACCAACTGAGCCACCCAGGCGCCCCTTTGGGTTTATTTCTATTGACCAATTTTCCTGCTTCTTTGTATGTCTAGTAATTTTCTATTGAATGCTTGACATTTTGAATGCTATGTGTTGTTGAATGGATTTTGCAGTCTTCTTTCATTTCATGTTAAGTTTGTTTGGTTAAGAAGTTAATGTACTTTTGAATAAGATTGATCTTTTAAAGACTTTTCCCCCTAACATCCATCCCCTTAGTTTTTAAAGTCATTCTGTACGAGAAAAATTTCTAAAATACTACCAAATAGCAAGAATCCTTGTTTTCTCAAGACTTATGTTTTAACTTATTAAGGATGGGCATAGAGTAGCTTTTATTCTAGGGGTAGATTGGTTCTACCTCTAATGCACAGACTTTATAGAATATCTTCTAAATATCAGGAGTGTTTAAGGAAGGCTCCTAACCACCTGGGAGCTCTGGTAGTTGTTCAGCTCACAGATCCCTGGTAGTTGTAAGTTTCCTAGTGTTTGTTAGTCTTGTACAGTTTTATAATTCTTTACTATGGTAGGACTAATCAGGTACCACTTACTCCATAACAGTCAGAGGTGTAAATCCCAAGAGGGAGCTTTTGACCATCTCCCAGCTTTACATTGTTTCTCTTCTCTTTCTCCTATGACTCATTAGTTCTGCCTTCTTTTCTCCTACATTTTTCTCTTAAGAACATATCATTATTTAATGAAAGGACCCAAATGAGAAATTAATTCTTGCAAATCAACCCAACATTTTTTTGCACTACACGGTATTTTTTACCTCCTGGGATTAAAATAATAATTCAATCTAGTTTTAAGTTGCTTATTACTTGGTATATTCTTTGATTTCTCTATTTCTTTCTCTTTCTCCCTCTCCCCATCTCTCTCTGTCTGTCTCTCTCTCTATTTTGGCGGATGTGCTACTTACTTTTATTTTAGAAAGATTTAGAACAGGCTGACTGAGAAAACTAAAACAATTCATGTCAAGAATATCTATATGATTAAAAGCTCTCCCTGGGGGCACCGGGGTGGCTCAGTCGTTAAGCATCTGCCTTCGGCTCAGGTCATGATCCCAGGACGCTGGGATCGAGCCCCACATCGGACTCCCTGCTCTGTGGGAAGCCTGCTTCTCCCTCTCCCATTCCCCCTGCTTGTGTTCCCTATCTCGCTGTGTCTCTCTCTGTCAAATAAATAAATAATAATAAAATCTTAAAACTAACTAACTAAATAAATAAAAGCTGTCCTTGAACCAGCATTCCGACCACACAAAACTAAATAATCCACAAAGTGTTTATAAGGAAGGCAAGGAGACTAATAACTTACTTCTTCTACATTTTTGGTTCCTCACCTCATACCTGAGATCATATAGTTTATTGGTTCTCCTTGTGAGCTATTTTAGCTTACTGTTAGTGAATGGGCTTAGTCTCTACATATTTTTATTCTAATTTAAGAGCCTTTATGTTGGTGAAATCTGCTCCTAGAATGTAATGTTCAACACTCTCTGTCCACAAAATATCTATTAATTCATGTTTATAAAGCATTAGTCACTAAAAAAATAAATTTTCCAACGTTTTATTGCCTTTTAAGGAAAAGAGAGATAAGGACAGGAGGAACAAAAATGAAACTGGTTTATAAAATGGGTTTTAAGAAAGTATTTTTAAATTGTGCTGGGAGAAAAATAAATGATTAAACTAGATCTCAAGAAGTTATGGGTCTTATACTCTTACCTGTGTAGCTGGATGTATTCTCGGGGTCTGTTGAGCAGGTGAAGGAATCTGTCAACAACCTTGTTTTTTCCCACACCCTGTAATTACACAGTGAACATTAAGTAAAAAGAGACTTTTGTGGAAGTAAAACAAACCAGAATAATCTGTTGCCAAAACCTACTTTCTCAAAGTTTGTACTTTTTCAGCTCATAATGAAAATATACACATATACATACATACACACATATATGTTTACATATAGCAAACAAATATAGTTTCTCTGACATAAAGGTTTTTTAAAAAATTTACTTCTAAATACACTAGCTTCATTTACATCAAATACACTAAACATGCTCTTCTTATTTAAAAGGAACTTCATAATTATTTTTAGCCCTCTACAGCTAGTTTTTTCTTTTTCTTTTTTTTTTTTAAGATTTTATTTATTTATTTGACAGAGAGAGACACAGCGAGAGAGGGAACACAAGCAGGGGGATTGGGAGAGGGAGAAGCAGGCCTCCCGCCGAGCAGGGAGCCCGATGCGGGCCTCGATCCCAGGACCCTGGGATCATGACCTGAGCCGAAGGCAGGCGCTTAACGACTGAGCCACCCAGGCGCCCCTACAGCTAGTTTTTTCTGCTTCATAATTTTACACTGAAGTTTAGACATTACAATACAATATTAACAATTTCAGATTTGAAAAATGGCATCAAAGGCAATAAAGTAAGTATAAAAACAATGATTTTTTCTTATCAATTCTTTGGAAGTATGGTTTCTAGTTACAGGCAGATAAATATAATACTATACTTCTGTTTTAATAAAATGCTCATTCTTCTCTCCTTCTATCCTACTTTCTAATCCTTCAAAACCATGGAAACCTAAATTATAACCAGGGTTTATTAGTAAGTCTCAACTATATCTGCTCTTGTCAGCAATGTCCTCATTTCCTTACCACTTATTGATGCTGAGAGTTGCTGTCCTTTTGTGGAAGACAGACTGTTAAAAATGGAAACCACTCCCATGCCAGCTCCCCATTTTAAAGTTTTCACTTAGAGGTGGAATACTCTATTAATGGGATGTGACTCTTTTAACAAGTGGGTTGTGTGGGAACAGTAGAAGTGGTTAAAAAGCTAAATTCCATATATCATATGTTCTAGCAATAAATAACTTATTAATTTCTTATATCCTGCCAGACTCTATCCTAAGTATATCATGTGTTATTTCATTTAATCCTAACAGTTCTACGAGGTAGGTAGTATAATTACTCCAACCTCACAAATCAAGACACCAAGACTCAGAAAAGCTAAGCAACATGTTCATGGTCACACAGCTAATCACAGGGGAACCAGGATTCAAATCCAGGTCTGTCTGATTCTGATGCTAATGCTTTTAGTCCCAACATTATGGATTATACTTCTTTTAGTCTGAAACTGATTTAGGTAAACTGGGCCTTGAATTTTCTCTTTCCCCACTTCTAGGAATCCATTTCTAAAGAAATAATTAGGCAGATCAGGGAAATGCATGGCGCTGAGCAGTAAGAGCAGAAGAAGCCCAATAGAAGGAAGCAGGCATTATTACTGATTTTTCTGCTACATCCTCAAATGTCTTGTAAAGAAATCATTCTATAAGCACGAAGGATAGAAATTCAAATCAATCAAATGAGTATTTATTGAGCATCATCATAGTCCTAGAATTGTGACAGTTCCTCTAAGATAAACAAATTCTCAAAGAAATTATGAGAATTTGTCCTTCACAATTCTCAAAAGAAGGCAAGACACATACATAAATGTGGAGCACAGAAGACAAGCCACCAGTGTAGCTAAACAGTTGTTAATTTATATGATATAGGTTCTTTTTTTTTTTTTTCAAGTAGGTTCTGTACCCAACTGAACTCACAACCTTGAGATCAAGAGTCACATGCTCTATCAACTGAGCCAGCTAGGAGCCCCTTTGATATACATTCTAATAGCCTTAGAATCTTTCTCTTCTCTTTGGTCCACTAAATATGTCATAAGATTATAGATGCAAGAGAGACTAAGGGGACTGGACTGATTACCAACTACTTAATAAGACAGAGGTATGAAGCACACATAGACAGTAGCAAGCAATTAAGATCCACTGTACATCCTCGACTAAGAGAGAAACACAATGAAATCAATGTTTAAAGAAGGTCAATATAACAATACTATGCAAAATATACTGATTGACAAAAGGAGAAACTGGTATCTAGGAGATTTATTGTTTACTCATTCAACATAGAAACAAACATTTATTGAGTGCTGGCATGTGTCAGGAGAGATAGCAGTGAACAAGACAGATAAAGTTTCTGCTCTTATGGAGCTTCCATTTCAGGAGTGTGGAGACAGATTGGAACGTAGATTAGAAAAGTAGGTAGAAAGGCAGCAAGATGTAATTAGACAACCAAATAAATAAGAAAGTTATCAAATAGTGATATTCTCTACACACAATTAAGATAGGGTGAGGCAATACTGACTGGGTGGTTATTAATATTGATTGAGAAGTGAAGACTTTTCCTTAGGTAACTTTAAGCTCAGATCTAAATGACAAGGAGCCAAGTGCTATAACGATTACAAAAGGGGCATTCCAGGAGAAGAGTTGCTACAGCTGATCCTCTAAAGTGGAAATAAGCTCAGGATATTTGAGGAACAGCCAGTGTGTTCAAGTGTTGTGGGCCAGAAAAGAATATATAAGATAAAGAAATAAAAGTAAGTAGGGCTGTGGGGCGCCTGGGTGGCTCAGTCCTACTCTTGATTTCGGCTCAGGTCATAATCTCAGGGTGGTGAGATCGAGCCCTGGGTCAGGCTCTGTACTCAGCAGGAAGTCTGTTGGGGATTCTCTCTCCCTCTGCCCCTCCCCACTGCTCTGTTTTTCTCTCTCTAAAATAAATAAATAAATCTTAAAAAAAAAAAAAAGGTAAGTAGGGTCTAATCAAATAAGTTTTACAAGCCAAGTTGAAGAAGTGGGATTTTATTCTATGAGATGGGGAGCCACTGGGAGATTTTTTTAGCAGAGAAGTGGCATGAACTAATACAGATCATAAAAAAAATCACTTTGGTTAGGTATGGAGAGTGAATTATAAGGGAGGGAGTAAGGATGGAAACCAGGAAGCCAGTTGGAATGCTACTCCAAGAGCCCAGGTGAGAGACGGTGATGGCTTAGATTAGGGAGGTATAAATGGAGAAGAATGGATTCCAGCTGTTTTGCAAGAAAGTTGACAAAACTGGCTGACGGACTGGATATGGGAGGATAAAGGAAAAGAAAGATCAAAGATTACTTCTAGATAGTTCCTTGAGCAAAAAGATGGGAAAGGCTGGGGGGGGGGAGTCTTTTTTTCCCAGAGGAAAATGAAGAGCTAACTCTTTCTCCAAAGCACTTATTATCATTTAACATTCTAACAATTTATTTACTTGTGTGTTATCCTTCTCCCAGACTGGAAATAGCTCACTGAGAAGCTGGTTTTGTTCACTACTGTACTGCTAGTGTCTAGAACAGTGCTGGCACAAAGTAGGCACTCAAGTATGGGTCATATGAATTAATGATGTCTCCATCTCTGGCAGAAACCCCAGTCATCCTCAGTACTTCTCACTCCACCTCCCAATTCATAACTAATTCCTCTCATTTCTACCTCCAAAATATATCTTAAGTTTGCCAAATTTCTCTGGAATCATTTAAAACCAAAGGAATGTCATGTCTTGTCTAGAACGGTGCTTCTCATGCTTTGATTAGCAAATGAGTCAGCTTTGAGATCTTATTAAAATGCAGACTGATTCAGTAGGTCTGGGGTGGGGTCTGAGACTGTATTTCTAAGACATTTCCAGGTTGTCACCAATGCTGCTGGTCTGCAGACTGTACTTTGTACAGCAAGAATACATATCTGCAGTAGTCTCATAACTGAGTTCCCTACATTCATTCATGCTATTTTGAATGTATTTTCCATACTGTAGCCGGAGTAATCTTCTTAACAGATAAATTAGATCATGTCATTCTCCTGCTCAACCCCATCTGATAGCTTCTCACTGCATTTAGAGTAAATTTGAAAATCCTTCCTGTGGCCTGCAAGGTCCTACCCATCCCTCCAGCCCTCCTGTGTGTCACTCTTTTCCTCCCAAACACTGTTCTAGTCACACTCAACTTCCTTCAGTAAAAGATTCCAAGCTCTTCCTGCCTCAGGGCTTTGCACAAGCATATTCTTCTCCTCAGGGAGAGCTTTTCTCTCACTCACTATCCTAGCCATTCTCATTCATTATCTTAATTCCCTCCTCAAAAAGGCCTTTACTACCTTCCGATATAAGTCAGGTCCTTCCTCATCTCCCACACTCACCTGTATTTTTTCCTTCTTAAGCATAAATAGATTTATATGAGTGACAACTTATTTAAAGTCTCTCTTATTCACTGTTCTGTGAACTGGAAGTGCCATGGGGGCAGGTCCAGGCCTATTTACTGCTATATCCCCAGAGCCCTGCACAGAGTCTGACAGAAAAAGGTACTCAATAAATATGTGTCCAGTGAATGAATGAATGCAGAGAATTTGGAAAGTACCGGAAAAGGGTATAAATCCCAGTAAGATATATACTGTGACCATCTTAAAAAAGATCATGAATACTTGAAACTGTGATGAGTTACAGACTTCTAAAAACCGGACAAGATTTGCAAATGATCCAATTTATACATTTCGCCTGTGAAAGATTCAGTTATCAGAGCTGACTGTCAAAATGACAAACACATGAAAGTAAGAACAATGGATCATTTCATCCTCTAGGAAACTGATATCTAACTGGATTTCTCCCCAAAATAGTTATAAGCCTAACACGGAAACAAAGAGAAGGAAAATATTTTCACATTTGCATGTACACTACAAAGCTTTAAGCTTTAAATGGCATGCTACAACAAACATAAAATTTAAAATCTATACATTCAGATGAGTAAAATGTTTTGTTAATATGTCACATCTGTTAACTTCAATGAATCTAGAGAAAAGCAAGTATCATAAGTGCATTGTAATGTTAGAAATATAGAGGATTTCCTGAAAGAAACAATCATGAAAAGCTACGATTGGGAGTTCCTGTTCCCTCCCCACTTC